TGCACCAGATTTCTATAAAGGTACAAACAATCTGAATATACAAATAAACCTTTTTTTATAGTTATGTTTTACACAAGAAGAAAGTACTGAACTTCTGAAATGTATTCAATACTTTGTATAAAATAAATTTTTTGGTAATGACAGCTTTAAGACACCGCTTGTATGGAGTATGGAGTCGCATGCAAGAGGTGTTTTCTAACTGAGACATTTCAGCTGCTGTCTGGGCATTCCATGCCCCTTTACACCTTCCATTTGTCGTGTGTTTAGTACTTTTTCCCTGTGTCATTGCATTTTATTACACAAAAATTAGTTTCTAAATTAATTGGTCTATTCGTTTTTTATCTATGCACTGTAAAAACTGCAGGGTTCCACACAATTTGTTCATGTTGTCCCAACACAAATTGATTAAGTTAACTTAACACTTTTAACAAATTTATGTGGATTGGATATAAAAATGTTAAGTTGTCCCAATGAAATCTCAAGAAATGTGTTGTTTCAACTTATTTTAAATAAGTAGTTTGAACGAGCAATCTATATATATTTTGAGTGTGGATTACTTTTAATTTCTCTGTTGCCTCATGATGTGGATGATCCACATCAACTGAATCTCTTCTATTGCTATAATGTATACATTTTGAAAATATTGAAAATACAACATATGTCAAACATCTTCCCAAAATTTGTAATCAATGTGAAATTAATTAAAACATTTTTTCATAATTTAATACTCGCCTAAACAAGAAGCATAAACTATATAATTTGCCATTCATAAGGAAAATACAGTTTGCTAATAATTATATATATATATATATATATATATATATATATATATATATATATATATATATATATATATATATATATATATATATGTGTGTGTGTGTGTGTGGTGTGTGTGTGTGTGTGTGTGTGTGTGTGTGTGTGTGTGTGTGTGTGTGTGTGTGTGTGTGTGTGTGTGTGTTTTGAATTTTTTCCCCTTTTTAAATATTTCCTAAATGATGATTAACAGAGCAAGGAAATTTTCACAGTATGTCTGATAATTTTTTTTTTCTGGAAAAAGTCTTATTTGTTTTATTTCAGCTAAAATAAAAGCAGCTTTTAATTTTTAAATACCTTTTTTGGTCAAAATTATTAGTATAGAATAGTATTAAAATTTTCAATAGTCTACAGAACAAACCATTGTTATACAATAACTTGCCTAATTACTCTAACCTGCCTAGTTACCCTAATCAACCTAGTTAAGCCTTTAAATGTCACTAAGCTGTATAGAAGTGTCATCATGGCAAAGATAAAATAATTAGAGATGAGTTATTAAAACCTATGTTTAGAAATGTTTTGAAAAAAATCTTCTCTCCGTTAAACAGAAATTGGTGAAAAAAATTAACAAGGGGACTTATAATTCAGGGGGGTTAATAATTCTGACTTCAACTGTATGTGTATGTATATACATGCATAGGAGGAAAACCAACATGAACAAACTCCACACAGGAATGCCAACTGACCCAGTCGTGACTCGAACCAGCAACCTTCTTACTGTGAGGTGACAGTACTAACCAGTGAGCCACCGTGTTGCCCAAATATATGTATACATCATTCATCATCCTTTTATTTCAGACTACTAAGTCCACATTCAGACACAATACAAAAAACTATCACAACAATAGAATCATGCACATACATATACTTCCAATGTTTTGAATGATATATTTTAGGCAACATAATTGGCCAAAAAATGCCATCATCTGCACACACACTCGCAAGTTAAGTTACTTCCACACACTGAAATGAACTGAATCCTTTAAGCTCCTCTCTCAGGTATCATCCATCCAGTCCTCTCTTTTCCTCTTTCTTTCCATGATTCATCAATCTCAGAGCTACAAAAGCCCCCATAACAAATAAACCCACCATCGCAGGCCTTTCATGAGGCCAAGCGTCACTGTATGTTGGAGCGCCGGTGCATGGTTTCACCCTCCACGGAGGTCTGGGACGCTCTATGTCATGGTCCTCACCCTCAGATAGACCCATTCAGCCGCGGGACCTAATGAACACTCCTGGCCTCATTCACTCCCACAATGGGCTTCTCCACTACCATTGAGTGCACTCACAATAGGGAACATCGCTCCAATTAAACCCCAGGGGACAATGCATGTGCAAGGGGGCCAGCGTTTGGGTGTTGGGGGTGGAAGATGTTGGGGGTCCCGCTCTGGGTGCTGGAGTGGGGGGGGTCACAGGGGGTAACGAACGTCTCTGACCGGGTGCTTGTGAACGGAGGGTGGCTGAAGTGCCGGTGTCTGTGATGTGCTATTAGGATCAGCGAAGAGTAATTATGTGCACAGAGACCCTCCCCGGCCCAGCGGAGGGGGCTGTTGGCTTCAGGAGAGAGATGAGGAGGTGAAGGAGAAAGAGGAATGATGTAGCTGAAGTATTATCTTGTTGGCTTTGCAGCTGGTTTATAAATGTTGTAGCTACTTGAGGGTATATGTTACAGTGATTTCTACTGTAGTAATGGGGTTTTAGGCATTCAGGGTTTGTGCAAATGCTAAGAATGTATGGTGGACAAAACAACAATTGTTTACAAAAATTAACAATAGTTTAACAATGGTTTAATAACATGTATAACATAAACGACACGTGGTTTTTTTTCTGCTTTTGCTACTTTACCCATAGGCTAATTATGAATTAATTGTAGTAAATCTGTGGTTGTAGTGTTAATCGATGAGGGTAGGAAAATAAGAATTGAGCCGTTTAATGCAAGTGTTCTGCAGACATGATCATTTTAAAGTGTTGATTTAGGCTTACATTCACATAAACGTTTATCTGAGGACATTTTAATGCAGCATTCAAAATTGGTCAGAGAAACTCAAAAATGTAAATATTATCTATATTAATAATTCAATAGTCATGACAATATATGTTTATGTTATTTGATATTATTAAAATAAGTAAGTTTTCACTCGATGTTTTAAGTTATATTACATTTGTTGTTTTTAAAAATAATTTTACTGGATGAACATGTCATAAAAAGTCAGTTGAAAGTCAGTTTAATATGACTTAAATGAAAAAATGTAAGGAAGCAACCCTTTTTTGACAGTGAAGCATGTTTGAGCTGAGTAATAATATATGTGTGTGTATGAATGAATGTGTATATTTATATATTTATACACACACACACACACACACACACACACAGTTGAAGTCAGAATTATTAGCCCCCCTATTAATTTTTTTTTCCTGTTTTCTGTTAAACAGAGAGCACTTTTTTTTTTTTTTAAACATAATAGTTTTAATAACTTATCTCTAATAACTGATTTATTTTATCTTCATCATGATGACAGTAAATAATATTTTACTTGATATTTTTCAAGACAGTTTAAAGTGACATTTAAAGGCTTAACTATGTTAATTAGGTTACCTGAGCAGGTTAGGGTAATTGGGCGAGTTAATGTATAACAATGTTCTGTACACTATCAAAAAAAGAAAAAAAAAACTTAAATAATTTTGTCCCTAAAATGGTGTTAAAAAATTGAAAACTGCTTTTATCCAAGGTGAAATAAAACAAATAAGACTTTCTCCAGAAGAAAAAAATATTATCAGACATACTGTGAAAATGTCCTTGCTCTGTTAAACATCATTTGGGAAATATTTAAAAAAGAGAAAAAAATGTTTGCTGTTTTTTTCTTAAATCATGTAATATCATTTTCTACATTTCATCTTAATATTTGTTTTCTTGAGATAATTCACAACTAAATATAATAAATGAACTATTTTGTTTTTGTAAACTAAATCTTTACTGATTTGACTGCTAGACTGGTCTAAGTTTGCAGTTGTAATAATTACACTCAAATAAAAACTTTTAGACCCTCACTGTCCAAAATATGCCAGAAAACTATGTTATTTATAATTTATAGTATCATTTATAGGTAATTATTTTGCGGCCCCCAGATTTCCTGGGGCCCTAAGCGGCAGCTTATATAGCTTATTGGTTAAATCGGCCCCTGTATACCAAGTATCCATTGTTACCTGTCTATTTTAGGATGATCATGTTATAAATAAACAAGCTAATAAAAAGAGCATTTCTCTAGGGAAATATTTTGTATAAATACACACTTACATTTATATACATAGAGTACATACTTACAGATATATACATACACAATCATTCTAAGGTGTGCAGTTATTTTCAGATAAACACACAGCTAAAGTAGTTCAGGCAGGTTTTGAACACATTACATCTCCATATCACTACGCTGAATGATTTCAGTTTATCTGTTCATGTAGAATCCATTGGAAATTAATGTGCAGATTAAACAGCAAGGAAGCCCTACACTTTCAAAAAAGGTAGTGGTACAAATAATGTTCCTTAATTAGCTATATTATGACTTTCAGTCGAGGGACAGAAATAAAAAATGTTTTGTGTTATGAGAATCTAAAGTCTTATGGATTTGGAGTGTGAGTAAATTATGAAAAATTTTATTTCAGGATGAATTAAAGCTGGAAAAATGACCTGTCATTGTGTGTAAATTAAAAAAGAAATTGGTAGATGCTTTTATATTACATATTCTTTACATTCACAATGCAGAATTTGTAGAAACTAGCAATCAAGATCATTTATTTGATCAAAAAGACATTATTTTTGTTATTATTGTTAAACTTTATTACATGGCTCTTTTTTAAATGTATTTTTAAAAGCCATTTATTACTGTGATGAAATTCATCTTCAGCAACATTATCAAAAATGATCACAAGATCAGAAATAATTCTATATTCTCATATTTTATCAATGTTGCGCTGCTTTTTTTGTAGTTATGTTGTAGGACATTTTTTTGGCACATATCCAAGCAAATTCATAAATGCAAAAAAATCTGACTCTCCAGACTCCTAAAAATATCAGGATTTAAAGTGTTGGAGAAGTGGGTGAGTGCAGACGCTCTGAGTTTTCTTTGTGGCCTAGGTGTGTTTGAATCGGGCAGTGCTCTGGACAGCTTTGTTCCTCTGCTGTCCCCAGTGGTCCTGGCAGGCGCACAGGAAGACGCGTGTCAAACACTGAGACAAGGGAGCTCTCTCTGCAAAGCCCACACAGAGAGAGAAGAAAGCTAGAATTAATGCTGTAAGAATAAACACCGAAAAGAAACACAGGAGAGGCGGTTAGTTAAATAACAGAGGGGGGAGAAAAGCCGCTCTGGGGGAACATTCAAGACATACCCGAATTTTTTAAAGCAAAGTTGCAGCATTGAAAAAAGGTTACAAACCCCCTGTGCAAAGATTCCTCTGCCATATTGTAGTTGTATAACTCATTATTGACATTTTTACACAAAATAGATGGAGGCCTTTGGAGAGGTGACATTTGGCTGGGCACGACGGCCGAGAATACCAACAAACTAATGGCGCGAGATGACAGAAGCACCTGAATTTGCCCTTTCCTGGATGCTCAGATAGAGGATGAAGCAGGGCCACTGTTGACTAAATGGGTGTCAAGAATTGGACAACAGTGTTCTAGTCTCCTCCAAATTTATTAAAGGTAGGTATTCAGGTTATATTTTATATACAATCATTTAACAAAAATGTCTTAAATATTCATTATATTAACATTTGGCTTCATTCAAAGCAACTTACAACTGGGAAAGATACAAGTAATCAAACCAAAATAAGAAATGCATTTTGATTAAGATACTTGGGAATTTATCTGTAAAAGTGCCTTAACATTCTCATTTAATAGTAGACATGGATTAATACATTTTAATATTTTACATAGGGTATATTATACACCTGAACGATCGCACAAGATAAGTGATTTATATTTAGATTGTTGCCTTAGATGTGAAACCCAAGTTGGTACATTACTTTGAACATGTTCCAAACTGAAAACCTATTAGAGAAATATAATACAAGCTGTTATCAAAATAGCTAATGTTAAGCTTCCATGTAATCCAAGATTTATGTTACAGGGGGATGAATCAGCTCGATCAAAAGAAGATTTTATGTTTAATTAATGAGGCTTTGAAAGCAGCAAAGAAATGTATTGCTAAACAATGAAAATCAGTAGAAAAACAAAGTCATATTGTATGGCTTAGAGAACTTTCATCTTATATTCATGATAAAAAATTATGTATATTTAAAAAAAAAATCACTGTTTGAAAAGATTTGGGGCACATCTAAGAAATATATGATTAATATAGTTGTTACGTTGAGTGAAAATGCTGATGGTATAATGTGACTCTTCTGATGCTGCATAATAAAAATTCTACATCTTGTGTACATCTCATACAGTATATGTACAACCTGATCATGTCTATTTTCAAAATGGTAATTTTTTTTTCAATTCTTTCAATTTATTGTTTCTACAGTTGCATTTGTAGTTTCTCGTTAATATACAGGTTTAAAGCAGGTTTGACATCCGACTCAGGAATTTTACATTCTGTTATCACCAACTGTAGGGCTTCCTTAGCTGTTTAATCTGCACGTTAATTTCCAATGAATCCTGTATGACCAGGTAAATGGAATCATTCCGCATATTGATGTGGAGCTTTAATGCGCCCAAACAAGTAAACGAATAAACAATAATGACAAATAAAAGATAAAAAAAACTTTTATTTGTCATCATTGTTTATTTAATTACTTGTTTATTTTCTTCTATTTTACACATCAGCTCGATATCTTAAAATTATGTTCATTTAAGTGTTTGGTTTTGTGAGGGTTGGAGTGGGGTGGAGGGTATAAGGAAATTATTCTGTAAATTTTTGATCCGAAAATAATAAATATATTGAAACAAAGTAATCAAATCGACAAAAGAACAATATATAATACTGAAAAGAACAATATATAACCTGAAGTATTGGGGAAAACATTGATATATTTTTTCTTAATATATTTAAGGTCCGAAAAGATTGAATATTTGTATTAACCTATTTTCCTTTACTGCAAATAAATGCATTAAATTATAATTAGCTTATTTAAAAAATTAGAAGAGAGATGATCACTAATTTCTAAAATAGATATATAACATTTTTACTAAAAAACTATCAATTAATGGCAAATGTAGAGAACTGATAAAATTCTGAATAGGTTTCTTAATTTCTTTCTTTAGCACTATATTTATGTATATTAAGTATAATATATACTTGCATATTAAAACAATATACAGTTGAAGTCAGAATTATTAGCCCCCTTTTGAATTTTTTTTCTTCTGAAGAAAGTCTTGTTTGTTTTATTTCAGTTAGAAAAAAAGCAGTTTTTATTTTTTTTAAAAACATTTTAAGATCAAAATTATTAGCCCCTTAAGCTAAGTTTTCAGAATAAGATAGTCATCGGAACAAACCATTGTTATAAAATAACTTGCCTTATTACCCTAACTTTTTATGTTATGCATAAATTATAATATAATAAAGTGAATTGAAAATATGTTTTTATTACTAAAAGAAAATATTGGTATTAGTCACCAAGCATTTATTTAAAATTTAATTTATGTTACATTGAAATTCCATTATTTTATTATGGGGTAATTTTAGATTAAAATGTATTATTTTATATGATAATATATATTAAATGAGAAAATAAGTATTGATATATTTATTAAGTTCCTACCTATGGTGCCCCATGCAGAATACATGATTTGTGTCTAGGTAGTGCCCTGAGCTGAAATGTTAGGGTTGATCTCTAAAAAGACTGGGGTGTTTCTCTATCCCATCAAGATCCCCAAAGAAGTTGTAGTTGATCCGGACTAGAGGTTGAGCCGGAGGTTGTTGTTTTCTATCCATGGAATCAATTTTCCTGTCTGTTTCTAATGGAAACAATGCAAACTCTTAAGGACATGTACAGAGCGACACTATAATCCCTGCTTGTTGCTTGTTCCCTCTCAGCCTGACAGACTGTTTTCGTTTTATATATATATATATATATATATATATATATATATATATCAGAAGTCAGAATTAGCCCTCCTGTGATTTTTTTTTTTTTTTTTCCTTTTCTTTTTTCAAATATTTCATAAATGATGTTTAACAGAGCAAGGGGTTTTTCACAGTATTTCACAAACTAATAGTTTTGACTCCAACTGAATATAATGTGTGTGTGTGTGTGTGTAAGAAGGAAAAAAGAGATGAAGTGGATGCTGAGAGTCTGTGTATGTGAGTATGTGTGAATGTGTGAGAGAGTGTCACAGATGCACGGGTAAATAGTTTCTCAGGTACAATAGACATGCTCTTGCTGAAGTGGTCAGCCTTAAGATGGATAAACTCATGTCATTTATCACCGTGGTGCTAAGAGCCCTCCAGCTCAGGACTGGTTCCTCATTCTGTGTTCAGAGCGAGCCAAACATCTTCGCTTCTCCTCCGCACGCCTCCTTTCACTCCACTAGGCCTCATCTGCCCTCAATTTACTCCTAATGCGACCTCTGACCTGTCAGTACAGCATTCCTTTCTTTATTACACAAAACACCATATTGTTTGCCAATGAAAGGGGAATAAATAGTCTGGAATATTTGCCAGCCTACTTGAGTGGAACCAAGCCTTGTTATTGTAAATCAAATGCTGATGGAACACAGTTGCTGGATTGGAAGCGTGCAGGGATTGCAACCCACCTAGCAGAAATCTGCCTCTGTTTACCCTTTACCTTGACTTTAAATGTAATCTACTCACGTGAATACTTAAATTCGCAATTTGTGTGAACCCAGCAAAAGAGTTCCCATAGAGTGCTGAGATCAGAGCCATTGATGGTGTTGTAGCTGAATTGAATTTATGAAGGAAATGTGCTGAAGAATGTCATTGTCTATACAAATGCTTAGTAGCATATCAGTAGCAAGTATGTCACTTCTTATTTTGAGAATATTTCCAAGACTTTGTTTTATTGTTGTTGGATTGCCAGAATAGCATGTAACAGATCCACATTTTCTTTGAAAAGCCTTATTTGCATTTAAAGGGACAATAAATACTAAATTTGAACAGAAACCTGACTTTTTTATATGATGAAAAGAGGCACCATATAAATCCCCTTTAATGAGATCATGATATGTGAAATCAAAGTTGCCATAATATTTTACAAAAATAAGTAGTCTTTGTTCCATTAAAACATCAGACTCACAGGAAATCCGTGCATAAGTTGTAGCACATTTCAGATGACTAAAAATACATATATGGCACTTTTTATTGCAAATCTGAAATATGTAGGGTCACTTTTGTTCTGTTTCATATACATGTACTACTTGTACATGTCCATGAAAAGGGGGAGCTTCTAATACAGTTCATCTACCGAACCACTGACCCTTCCCTAAACCCAAACAATAATGTTTTCAAAAGCAAATGTAAAAGAATAAACACTGCAAACGCATAGTATTACCTTGATTGTATATAGCTTTTCTCTTTTATTAGTAGACTGCCAGCATAAAATCTGTTGATGCTGCTCCTTCAACAGACATTTAACTGACTATAAGAAACTTTGCACGTACATGTCAACTTACACTAACCCCAACCTAACAGTCTACTTTTACTCTAATGAAAATTAGTATGCATGGAGATGCAATGTAACATAAATTCAACAAACGGACAATTAAAATAAAGTGTGACCTAATAAATTCAGTTACAAAAACATAGACACCATTATTTATTTTTGTAGTATTAAATTGGTGTTGTGCAATCCTTTATTTGTCCATAGTATGTACCTGTAAGTATCATTAGTGCGAAAAGGAACACAAATTGTTGCCGTTACACTGCCCCGTAACATTAACTGCAGTCAAACATGTTTACTTGTGTTGTGCAAATCGACACTTTAAATGTCTTCCTTGTTATAAATAGTTTTTATGTAATAAAAAATGAGGTGGATTGTAACATCAGTGGTACATAAACTCCGCCTCTAGAGCAGAGGCTCCACCCACTGGCATTCTGTTGCCCAATAGCAGACTCTTGCCTTCACCAAATGCAAATGTGTTCACATTAGCAAACAGAAGCAATTATGGATGCAGGAGCATTTGACAGTGAGATCGCAATGAGAGTTTTGGTGAAAAACAAAGCAGTCAGTTCTGCTGTATCTGACAGCAGCTGTATTGAATGTGTAATATTTCATAATGCTTTGACTGACAATATTGTGAATAAGTGTGTTCAAAGACATTGTAATAGCGAGGATTTGTTGATGCTCTTCCCTATGCAGTGGCATTAGCCAGTTAAAACACACAGGGTTTTTGAATGTTCTTGTTTACTCTTAGATATTGTTTAAAAAAAGAAAATGTGTAAATTATTGATATTTGTTATTTTTTTTGTAGATTTCACAATATATAAAACTAAATATAACTATATATAAAAATATATTGAACTAAACTAAATGTATCTTTATTCTGAAATCTAGACTTTACCTGAACTATGTTCAGCTGCTTTGACACAATCTACATTGTAAAACGTGCTATATAAATAAACATAAATTGAAAACTTTATTTGAATTAAAAAAACACTGACAATTGACTGACACACTTTAAGACCCGCCTCTTAACATTAGAAAACTTAGCTTGATTTTACATAGCTTTTATCTTTTTTT